CAAAACAGGAAAAGAAGGCAGCCACACAATTCAAATAGAACATGAATAGAACACAAAATTCCGGGTGAATCATTTTGGAGAGCTACTCAGAGGCAGAGAAAGTTTTTGGCAGGCTTCAGATTCACTTCCTCTCACTGTGTATTTCGCACAGTAATAGACAGCTGTGTCCTCTTCTTTCAGGTTGTTCATTTGCAGATACAGCTGGATTTTGGCATCATCCTTGGAAATGGTAAAGCATCCCTTCACTTTGTCAGAGTAGTAAGTGATAGAACCAGAGATTATGTATAATGTGTAAATAGTTTGCCACCCATTCCAGTCCTTTCCCTGGGGCCTGTCTCACGCAGTGCATGTAGTTGTCAGTGAGGGTGAATGCAGAGGCTTGGCAGGAGAGACGGAGGGACTCTCCCGGTCTCCTCACATCCCCTCCAGACTCCACCATCTGGGCTTGTGACTGGACACCTAGAAAGAAGGGTGTTTCAGTGTCATCTCAGTATACAAGAACAGCAAACTGGAGGAAATACTAAAGGGGGAAGCATTACCTTGAAGGGCTGCTATGCACAAAATGCACAAAATTCGTATTCCAGGAAACACACTGCCTGCTTTAAAGGGGAAATATTGCCCTGGTTTACATATCAGTTCAGATAAAAGAGCTCCTCAAATCATCACCTATAAATTTCCTTGCACACAGATTACAAACAATATTTTTCTTGACACATTACAGAAAAACAAACAGAGAGAGGGGGGGAGGGAGGGAGGGAGGGAGAGAGAGGGAGAGAGGGAGAGAGGGAGAGAGAGACAGGAATGCTTCATCATTATGTACCAAAAGTGCTTTTCAAATGGCAACTTGATTTTTGGCTTGAGAACTTTTCACTTCCAAGCAGTTTCTTGGATGAGAAGTGAAACGATTTCTAAGAAAATAACCCAAGAAAGTCCAGTTGTCTTTTGAAAAGCACCTTTGGGACAACCAGGACATGGATGGTTTAGAATCTCTATAGATCATTTATTATTATGGTTCTTTATACTGTGTGCCAGGTGTTTGCAATGGATTTAGCATTTTTGTCCCTCTATCGGATGAGAAGTGAAATCTCTTCAAATAATTTTTTTTTAAAAAGTCCAGTTGCATCTTGAAAAAGCATCTTTAGGATGGCTTTTTGTTTAAGGACACTGATTTTGTCTGTTGACAAGGGGACAGGCTATGTTTGAGACCCGAGTGTCTCAAAATGGAGCGAGCTCTTGTTCTTGCCTCAGTTCTTCCCAATCTAACAGTTCAAAGGAATGAAATTTGAGTAGATAAATAGGTACCCCTTTGGTTGGTTGATAACAGTATTCAATGTGCCTCAGCATATAATCATGCTGACCACTTGACCTTGAAATTTCTTTGGACAATGCTGGCTCTTTTGGCAAAGAAATGTACTTGAGCACCACTTCTAGAATGAGACAACATTTTACTTTGTCTTTACATTTAAAACAAGAGGAGGTAGCTCTTTTTTAAAAAAATATATGTAATGACGGATGGATGGATGGATGGATGGATGGATGGATGGATGGATGGATGGATGGATGGATGTGTGGATTAATGATAGAGATGATAGATAGATAGATAGATAGATAGATAGATAGATAGATAGATAGATAGATAGATAGATAGATA